CCCACTGATTCGAAAACTTTTGTTTCTCAGTGATTTCAAATTAACTTTGAAATTATTGCTTCTGGCAATTTGCCTACAATTGATGTTAAACTCATTGGACAACAGTTAAGAGGATAGTTATCTATCTACCTTCTTGAAAATCAGTATCACATCCACTATCCTCCAAGATTCTGGTAGTGCTACACTTGTTTTAAATGATATGTCCAACAAGTTTGCTAAGGGCATACAGTATTAAGTTCCTTACATTTCTTCAATACTCTGGCAAATATCTCAATGGGACCTGGCGACTAATTAGGTTTTAGTTTATCTATTTGTTTACAAGTCACTTCGAACTCGTTTAACCTATTTTCGTCACCATCTCTGCAGTTAGTCCGTACCTCAGGCATCATACTTATGTTTTCGTTTGTGAAAACCGATGTAAAATATAATTTCAGAATATTGCTCATTTCTCCATCAATATGAGTTAGCTCACCAGTATCTGAGGGGCCAGGTGTCTTCACTCTCCTCTACCAGCGCTTTCATTACTGTAAGGCATGCGAGTCTAAATAATATTGTATTTGCATAGTCGCTAACAATGAAGCTATAATATAAATAATGCATTTGTCATGCTGTATTGTACATAGTACACCTGTTCCACTCTACAATAACTTAGTTCTGAAGAATAAATTTCAAGTTTTATATTCTTAGCACACAGAGGAAGGCTCTACAACTCTAGTTTTCCTTCATGTAGTACTGTACATTCCCCAGACTCTCACTTCTATCTATGGATGGAGACAAGGTACCTCAACCTCCTTTGCTCAAGTTACACATTCTGCCCAATACTGTTCCATTCTTCTATGACCTGTAATAGTGTCTAAGCTTCAACCAGATATATAAAGCAATAAGCTTCTATTCCTTGGTTTAGAGGCTAATAGAACCACACAACACCTTCCTTTAATAATTATCATGTCTTCCTCATGTACTGTATCAGTATAACTAAAAAAATCAATAAAAAAATCCCATTTGAACAATATCTAAAGCATAGTACAGTATAATGCATACAAAATTTAGCACCAAGATTATTCTCAACCACAACATTACATTGTTCTTTGGCTAATATTGAAGTCTTCACACAAGGGTAGGAATTATTTTCGTCATTGGTGCTGTCAAAATGAGATGACAAGCATAAAGTCCTACATTCATGGTCCACACGCACAGCACTTACCCAGTGGTAGGTACAGTGGTGCTATCATATCCCCACCTACACAATAAGGGCCTCAAGCCATGATATATAGATCAAGAGATTGGAAAAGTACCGGTATAATTTATCTTCCTCATTTGTCTCACACCTAAATCGAGTGATTTTTTTTACACCAGAATAAAAAGCATCAAGAGAAACCCCAGATTAAAAAGAACACTAATATACAGTATATTCAATGGTCAAGTCCAAGAGCATTCATTCATATGTAACCAAAAATCCCAATTCATATAAAACACAAGTATGAGGACCACAAGTTTTCTGTAACCACATTAGTCCAGGTTTACAGTGTAGTCCCTCCTATACAGTGCTATTATATTTATTATCTTCAACACCTGACATAATAGTTGAGATCACTGTGGACTATGTGTATATTCTCTTTTCGACAAGCTGGTTGCAATAAAATCTTGCATATACTGTACAGTGCTCTTATTCCTTCTCTATCATCATTTCCCAGTTTCTACACCACAGGACAAAACACTACCCATTGCTACGTAAGTGTTAAAAACCAACATCTAATCCCTTTATGTACATCCTACATATAATCTTCCTGTACAACACTTCACCACAATTTACATTTAAACATTTTTCAAAGTACCTTTTTTTTCAGCAAAATACTCTCCTTCACACGCTTCAAATATCTTTTGTTAAATATTTTCTATCCATAGCTCATGTTATTAACTCATGTCTGACACTTCTTCCCCACAAAGCTTGAGCCATACCCACTACATCCACCATAACACCTTCATGTATTTTTTCACTTTACATTAGACCCTCGCCAACCACTGACTCCATATCTCCACGGTTTTCACTCTGTATACCATTTCACCAATCACAGTATTTAGTTTTATGTATCCCCGGAATAGCATGGCATCTTTATCCCTCTGCGGTCTAATGTATTGTTTCGCGCAGCACCCCATCTCCTGCCACTGCTCCCTCGGTGTTTTGATCTCATAGCGTACTTTATTGCTCCGCATTCTCACTTATTTTCTACTATAATAACTAATAACATTGATTTGGACCTTTCCTATGGCCCCTACACATTCACCGAGTGTTAATGATAAAAGTGAAAATGGGCAAGGAACTTAATGACATTAGAAAAGAAAGTTGAAGTGATTGATAAACTAGCGCATGGGATGTGCTATGAGCCTTTGCCTTCCCCCCCTCCCCGCACCACATCCTCATCAATGTCGTGAAGAGAAATACCCCTGTAGTACTGTAAAACTTTTATTTCGATTTAATTTAGATTAGGTATTCGACTCAAATTTAATTGAATGCACAATATTGTTTAGTGAAGGAACAGGCAACTTGGGCTTTGAAGTTATCTGCAACCGTATTACCTAACCCCTTATTTCTCATAAGCTTTTAGTCTTGCCAACCACAGGGTTTTTCAGGAACCTAACCCTCATGGTTGATGAGGGACTACTGTATAATAGGTTTTCCAAAACTTTAATCTCCTTGAAAATATTTAAGCCAAAGCAAGTGTAGAATAAGAGTGTACTTTTAGAGTTGCTTCATAGAAGAGAGTACCCAACAAGTGACAGAAGGAACATGTAAATGTACAGTACTTGCCTTGAATAAAATACCTATACAAGATGGTAAAAAAATAAAAATAAAAGAGGAGGAATGTCTGTTTGGTATAAGATGGATTGCATGACAGACTTTGTTACAAAATTTTTAGCTAAAACTGTATATAAGAGCAAGAGCAGTAGTATTTACAATGTATGAATGAAATTTCTGCATTAAAAACACGAGAGAACTTTCGGGCGAAAGAAAATTACGTTGTACTATAAAAGATTCTGAAAAAGCTTCAAAAACATGGGAATTGAAAAAGTGTATAGTACAGTACAAGGTTGGTGCAAAGTTGTTAAAATTTTGTCCAATCAATATAATATGATAAGGGGTAACTGGGCTTCAGTGAAAATAGGATAATATTATGGATATTAAATCCCATCAAGGTTATTATACACAGTATTTTCATGCAGGCAATTGCAAATGATGTTGCTCTAGTTGGTGGCTTGGAAGAAAAGTTGTAAATTATAGTGAACGAGTGTGTGTGTGAACGAGACAAATGGATATAAGAAGGTAGACACGAAGAAAAAAGATATTGACTTAAAGTATTTAGAATGTAGGAAGTGGGCGTACTTGAAATAACTGGGAGCGGATGTATCAGTACAGTACAGGGGGGATAAGGAATAACCAGTGATGATTTAACCAAGGTGCAGTCGATAGTAAGCACCCAAGAAATTAACAGGTACTGTAGTTGTATGTTCAATATTATATCATGAACAGAAGAAAAAATTACCATGGGACTGATTCCTATTCTGCCAAAATTGCAGTTTCCAAGCTGAAAGAGTACTCAAGATATTGTCTAGATAAGCGAACGAGAGATGAAAAAGGAACCAAGTACAGAACCCCTTTCAGAACTCATCCTCGGGATACATGCTTTGTGTAGCACCTGGGAACCAAAAGAGGATGGTGCACAATAAACGTTTATGGTAAGAGGGATGTACCGAGAAATTTTTTAGCCGACATCACTATACTAGTGTCGAGGAAGTGCTCTGGATACAAGATACAGTAGAGGAACAAATTTAAGTTGAATCTCCCGATAATTATTTTGGGTAAACAGCATGTCAAGATTCAGAAATAATAAAAATCAGATAAGAAAGGAAGTCATCGCATAAGGTGCAGATGAGGGTCTGTTTACGTAAGGACATACTGTACTTGTGTACAGTAATAGGCATAAACCAGACTTGGAGCCTCATAACTAACATAGTACAACAGCAACACCGATAACAACAAATGAAAGGAATGCGAGCGTGCTTGACCTAAATCCCTTTCTATTACCAATGTGTTGAAATAAGCTTACTTACCCCACCCTAAACACGTTAACCATTCCAATTTCTCTATTTTTTTATCATTCAAACTTTGGTCTCTCATCAGCCTGGTTATGCATGTAGTGTAAAAAAATTGATATGATTTGCCATTTTCTAAACGAGCCAAACAATATCATTGCCATCATAAAACCATATTTGGCTCTAAAAATAGATGGTAATCATCATTTTGCAGTTCATAGTTATATATACTGTATAATCAACGGCCTCACCAGCCCGGATTCCAACCCTCGACCTACTGGGTGGGACTAGGGAACGCTACCGACCAACCTGGTAGCGTTCCCTAGTCCCACCCAGTAGGTTGAGGGCTGGAATCCTGGCTGGTGAGGTCGTTGATTATATGTTCAAAGTCCGCGTGTTATATGGACTAAAAATGAAGTATATATACTGTATATTAAAAAACTGTTGTCCAGAAACTTAATCTCCTAAACTACTACAGTAATTTAGCGCTATTAAGAACTAGTGAATATCTTCCTACAATACAGTACTGTATTGTTTAAATTAACTTTTGAACATCACAATTATTACAGTACTGTACTGTATTATTCATGATGCATTATATTCAGATACCTGTATACACATAATACACTACACTTTTGACATGTTAACCCAATCTGCTTCATTTCATCCTTTACAAATTAAGGTGGTTACCTTGTACCATTCACAGTTCCTTGGAATATTAAAAATTTTCAAGACTACTGTTCCGTAATACACACACAGTGAATGGCAGACATCATAATAATAAGCACGGGATAAAACAACAGTTATTAAATGTTATACTGTATTCTACAAATTTTAATATTCCAGGTTCAATATTCCTAATCATTTTAAGTTAAAATTAAAACAAGGTAAAGAATTATACCAACAAAGTTACAATGAATTTTATTTTATAAAAATATGATTCTCGATATGAAAAATTATTTCTTTGTACAATGCGCACGAGGTATATACAGTTCACTCCATGGATATATTTACCATCCAATCATTTGCAGTGCAACTTAGCCATGTAGAATGCCATGTACACTTGTATCTCCCTGGAAATGCCATAACCATCTATACATGCAAATGTGAAACAAGAACACACTCTGTTCTACACCTGGCTTAGTCAGAGCCAGAACATTGAGACACTGGTTTAAACACCGGGTTGACTTAAAATAATCCGCAAAACATCCTTTGAACCACACATCCAAGGGTAACAATTATTATTCTGTAATTATCATTCTCCAAATAACAGTTTGCATTACAAGTCATACAAATTACCCAGTATACTGTAATGTCAATACAGATACATCAATATACTTGTATGCTGATTGTATCTATTTTCAAACAGATCTTACAAAATGTATTTCATGAATAACTATACTTTCATACTGAAATTACATAAAATAAAATTCATTTACACCAGAATTTTAATGAAAATATCATATATGAAATTGGCTATTAGCTAATACCCAGGGAGCTACAAGCTGAGAAAATATAAACAGAATTTTGGCCAATAGCTATGTATTTTCTGCAGATTCCTGTTTACTGAAACAAACCTCAAACAAGCAGGTATCTGAAATGAGCTGAATGTATGTTACTGCAATAATCACATAAAACCCATGCCATAAACAATTCAGGTTACTTTAGTCATTCAGGAATTAAATTTTAAATGTTAATGACCTGCAAATCTTCATGGCTAAGCCTACGGACTCACCCGACATACTTAACTTTTAGAAGAGCGCAGCAACTGGTGGCCAGCGAAGTAGCTGCAAGTTAAAAGACCTTTTCCAATAAGAAGATTCTTAACAAATGGTTGGATGGTTGAACATTGTCAGCACTTGGACCTCAAAAGTAAAAGAGCAACACAATTGTCTTTGTCTGATAATATTCAACTAGGCATTAACTATTACAAGTCACAACTATACAAGTCACCTTACACTAGCTCATGATAATAGCCCCATACATTAATTCTTATTACTACATAAAATTTATTTACACTTTGTTCAAGATATTAACTCCATACATTAATTCTTTTATTACATAAAATCTATATTTTAATTACAAAACTATATGTGCAATGGAAAATATCTTACATTCACTGCACAAAATAGCATTTACCTTTAGTGTGGCCATCAGCCTTGCTATCAAATCTGTTGGAGAACAAGATTTATTTTAAGAGATGCTTACCAAGAGAGGGGACAGGTAGCAGGGGGCTAGAACGGTGAGGTTGGGACGGGCCCCTGTCCAATTATAGGATCAGGGGGTCCCATCCCACCTGTGCCGTGACTCTGCTGCAGCCCATTCCAGTCACCTCCCGCTGGCTGTGGGGAAAAAAAGAGGAAAGCGTAACACAAGCTTACATACAGTCAGAATATGTCATTCAACATTTACTGTTTTGAACATTATCACATAATAAAACAGCTACTTCAAGGTGTGTGATTAAATCTATGCTCACAATAAATTCAAGTTAACCCTTCATTCCATAATGGGCCAGAAATACATTAAAACCTTTTTCAACAATTTGTCTAGGCATTTCCCTTAAGCATCTTGCACACTCCTTTACAAATGGTGCACAAAAGAGCCCAATATTTTTTTTTATCTTGATACAACCTTAAGGTAACTACACTTTTTTTCAACAACCACATTTCGGCATACAAGACTTTCAAGCAATATACAGTACTATAAATAAACACCGGTGTAGAACACCATTACTTTTCACAAACCAATTTTCTTTCCCGCTTTCTTTGCACAATAAGAACAATATTCAATGGTGGCTTCCTCACCATCCACGTGTAAACACATACCACTCGTAATAATATCGTCTTCACTTCCATTCGAGGACATGTCACCAAGGATCACACTAGAGGGGCTCAGTTTTCCGATGAGCGACGACAGCTTTGACTGATTCTTCAGAATGTTGTTAAGGTGCTTCACTTGCTGTTCGAGCTTAAGCTTAGCTTCCCTGAGACTCTCATTCTCCCCCGCCAGCTGATCACGCTCCCGGCTGACATCTTCCACTTTACGTTCCAGGTCTGCCATGCGAGCTTTCTTCATGTCCCGGTTGCGCTTTGCATTAATTGCATTTTGACGGCAGCGCTCCATATGTGGGTTAGGTTGAGGCTCAAGTTCATACGCTTTTCTCTTTTGTCCAGAGGAGGAACACTCACTGCTGTCAGATGTTCCAGAAAGGCGCTTCACCCGAAGTGACCTACACGGTTGCTCTTCTGTAGGGTTCGTCTGACTGCCATCTGAAGTTTCCGAGAGGCGTTTTACACGAAGTGACCTAAATGGGTGATGTTCTCTAGGGACTGTGGCTTCCCCACTGGAGCAGCCGGAAGTGGCCTGGTCTTGTCCCGGCACTGACTGGTGGTTTGTGGCTACCGCAGGTGGGATGAGGCATGTTCGGGTTATGTTAGCCTGTGTAAGGGGTCCCAGCTTACCACCCGAACGAATGGCTTGCATGCGAACCACTGGTGCCGTGGATCCCACCTTTGGGATCTTCACCAAGTTGTGGGATGGCTTCTGTAGTGACAAGGGAGCCACCATCTTGCTGACAGGCTGCTTCCTGGTCTTCACAACAATGCGGTAGGGGGAACACGCACCAGTCCCACCAGAAGTGACTAGAATAGTGCGTTTTACTTCTGAATCAGGAGTAGGTCGGGAAGATGGTGCAGAAGACCTCAATTCAGACCCACCAGGATGACTGGAGTGTGTTGGAGAGCCTTCAGCAGGAGAACAGGACTGCAGGTGGGGGTAGACGTCAGATGCGCTGGGATGCGATGGAGTGCCAGCTGGAAGGGAAACTGGCATGAGAGTCTCAGGGGTGTGACTGGGGACTGCCGACTGAAGCTCAAGCAAATCATTCTGATCAAATAGGTTGAGCAGAGGATCCCCAAGAAGGGCATTGCTGGAGTCAACAGCCAGCATGGCATCGTTATCCATGAGGCCATGGCTTGGGATGCCAGTATTCAACTCAATGTTTTCATCAATACCAAAGAAATCAAATTTGCCTTCACTCTTACCGTTGACATACATACTTAGGTCGTAAATCTCAGAAAACAGATCAACATTGGGCAAATCCGCCATCTTGTAGAGGGCTGGAATCCTTGGCCAATAAAGTCACCAGAATTTTATACTACCATAGTCCGTTTCACTTCCCCATGCAGAATATTATACTCCTGGATAATGTCTACAGTCACTTACATGGAATTTTTGCAGATATATGAACTTGGGGGGGAAAAATATACCAAAACCGGGGTACTCGTACCTGGTGCCTCCAAAGTCTCCCCAAAGTATGGCTATCGAGCGGCAGGCGGCAGTGTAGTCGCTCGGGCGGACGTGACATAAGAGCTAACTCGAGCCCTGGTTGGTCATCACCGACAGGCCGACTCCACTCTCCCGTCGGCTATTGGCTGATAATGACGTCATGGCCATAATGACGTCATAGCCAGATGTAAACACTGCTCACAAAACGTTTGGTCGACGACTTAGAGATGATGAATATAAAATAATAGATAGCTATAATTATACAAAGATTGATATATAGATGGATGTTTATTCACTATAATTGTCAAAAAATCTCTCACTAGTTAATCATTTACATAGACAGTACAGGTATACAATGGATAATTAAAAAGGTCAATTTAACCAACGGTAGCCCAGTAAGTTAAACTTTAACAAATGCCTAATTAATTATACTGTTTTTCATTTTATTACATAATTTGTGATAAATTTTCATATGGGAAAAGCTAGAGTGTATGTTCAGTTTTAGCTACCTCGGTAGTTATAATTATCACAATTGGCAACTGTCTTAAATCTTACAGTAGCACAGTATACCAAGATTTTGCTATTGTACAAAAGAACTGATGTAGTTTTTCATTGTTTATGGCAACAATATGTAACAACAGGAGCACGGAATTATTTTTATATTCATAAGAGTTACTCAAATCGCATTAAGTTGTTCTATTCAGTAAAATTTGCCTTTATTTTCACACCAATTGAGCATTTAGATAAATAGCACAGGTAATAATACTGTGCACAGAGTGGTATACAAAGAATGGTAAACAGTAAATTTTTCTACCATTTGCACTGTGCATTTGCTTTTCAGACAATATGAGAGAATCTATCAAACCCAGGTTAATCCTTTGGTGACATATGTTGTGGTAATGACATAAGGCTACAATGGGGAACTCAATAAACTCGGAAGAAAAAAAATCTGAAAATATAATGTGGTATGTTAACACTCTTGCTCAGCCATGTTATTATTATCCACTCTGTATCTGTGTTTTTCTGGCTAAATAAATTGTTTCAATTCAATTCTTGCTGGAACAATAGAAAAGGTCAATGAAATACCATGTTGTATAATTATTCTACCAGAGAAATCTTTATTCACTAAAAGACTAAACAATAGTTCCCTGTGTAATAAATACGCGGTTTATTTTCCAAATCCACCGCCTCCTCCAAAACCGCCGCCGCCACCACCTCCACGATGTCCGCCACCGCCGCCTCCTCCAAAGCCACCTCCGCCTCCACGGTGTCCTATTCCACCGCCGCCTCCAAATCCTCCACCACCACCACCTCCAAAGCCACCACCGCCTCCAAATCCGCCGCCTCCTCCAAAACCACCTGAAAAGAAAATCGTTTGGTTGATTTATATTACTTCTGCCTGTCAGCGTGACCACCAGACACGAAACTAAGCTTTTAAATGAAACATAATGTATAGATTAACGCTAAAGAATAGATTGACGTTCATGTGGAAATCCAGAGTTTAACACATACTGTATATCTGATGAAGAAATGAGCTGAGATGAAAGGGTTATTTAGATGATTTTTACGATAATTCTACTCCTGGGCAAACAAGAAAACATTAGGGAGGAGGAAGTTCTATTTACTGTAAAACGAGAATTCTAAACTGAAAATTAAAGGAATACGGGAAATGAGATACGTGATGAAAAGATACAAATGGACATTTATGACAGGTGGTAATGGAGTAAGAGCGCCAGTTTAGGTTAGGTTAAGTTAGGTTATGAGATATATGACAGCTGGTATAGGGGTAAAAGCGCCAGGGAAAGGTAGAGATTGGAATGGGTGAATGCTATTAAAAGCTATAATCAGAGAGAGATACAAAAGCTGGGAAGATTATAAAAGATATTTGGAGTCACTGGGAGAAGATGAGTCATGCTAGTAAAATTATAGAGCTTAACGCAGAGATCCTACACCTGACCCGTCCGTCAGAAGACTCTACACGGTGCTCCCCCACACCCGTCCCTCAGAAGACTCTACACGGTGCTCCCCCACACCCGTCCCTCAGAAGACTCTACACGGTGCTCCCCCACACCCGTCCCTCAGAAGACTCTACACGGTGCTCCCCACACCCGTCCCTCAGAAGACTCTACACGGTGCCCCCACACCGTCCCTCAGAAGACTCACGGTGCTCCCCACACCTGTCACCTCAGAAGACTCTACACGGTGCTACACCCGTCCCTCTCTACACACCCGTCCCTCAGAAGACTCTACACGGTGCTCCCCACCCCGTCCCTCAGAAGACTCTACACGGTGCTCCTCCACACCCGTCCCTCAGAAGACTCTACACGGTGCTCCCCCACACCCGTCCCTCAGAAGACTCTACACGGTGCTCCTCCACACCCGTCCCTCAGAAGACTCTACACGGTGCTCCCCCACACCCGTCCCTCAGAAGACTGTACACGGTGCTCCTCCACACCCGTCCCTCAGAAGACTCTACATGGTGCTCCCCCACACCCGTCCCTCAGAAGACTCTACACGGTGCTCCCCACACCCGTCCCTCAGAAGACTACACGGTGCTCCCCCACACCCGTCCCTCAGAAGACTCTACGGTGCTCCCCCACCCGTCCCTCAGAAGACTCTACACGGTGCTCCCCACACCCGTCCCTCAGAAGCTCCTCCCCACACCCGTCCCTCAGAAGACTCTACACAGTGCTCCCCCACACCCGTCCCTCAGAAGACTCTACACGGTGCTCCCCCACACCCGTCTCTCAGAAGACTCTACACAGTGCTCCCCCACTTTAACTATTCTCATTCGATTTGCTCCCCGACATATGCCAGTTGACCGAGAACATCTCCACTTAAGAACCTCTTGTGCCAAAAGAGGTTAGAACGCCTACAGCTGTCCAGTTTATTCTTTAGACGGGCAAGAGGTGATTTACAGAAAAGTTTATACGTACCTCAAAGGCCATTACTCAGTCAAGTGTTTAGTATCTTGAACTAGCGGATACCTGCCCCACTAGAGGTCACAGCCTCAACTTAAAGAAGCCACAAGCACAAAAACAAATTAGAGTTAATTCCCTTTGAGTAAGAGTTGTGAACTGTTGGAATAACCTGCCAAAGTACAGTATGTTTTGTGGGCTCCTTAACCCCTCGTGTACGGGGTCCTCTCTGAGCTGAATAAAATCTTCTAGCGTCAGCCAAATACAATCTCAAAAGTGGCGCTCCCGCAATGATGGGATTTAGCAACAGATTTGACCAAAACTGGCACATATTCAGCTACAGTCAAGAGTCCATACATGCTAGGGTTGCCATACGTCCGTATTTTCCAGGACATGTTCTCCATTTAGGTCTCGAAATCTTCATCCGGAAGTAATTTTTAAAATTCTTCAAAAGTCCGGAATTTCAGCTTCCATCATTTTCTCCGCAGAAAAAAACATGAAACTGCGATGACGAGAGAGAGGGAAGGTGGAAACCGTAGAGATCTCGTTCAGTTTTCGTCAGCTGATAAGTCACGTGTACGCCTGTACGGTGTTGTCAACTTAGCTGTCAAATATTTGATTGATAAGGGGGTAGAAGTTGATGATGTGAAGTGTTTTGACCAAGTTAGTAACCTGAAGCAGTTTGTGGACAATTACAAGTGATGAAGAATTTAGTAATCTGCCAACACATAAAAAGTGGACCAGATACTTTGAAAAATCAAAGAACTTTGAATGCAACTCGGAATTGCTAAGAATTGCACAATTCTTCTTTGCTATGTCATCTCACAATGCAAATGTAGAAAGAGTTTTTCACTGATGCAAAGTCAATGGACAAAGGAAAGGAACAAATTGAGTGTTGAAACAATGAAAGGCATTCTGACTGTACAGTACAACTTCCGAGAAACATCTTGCAGTGACTTCTATACCTTTCTAAAGAGCAATCAGCCAATACTGAAAAAGATCCGATCTACAGAAAAGTATGCATGGGCACATCAAGTCACACACACAGTGGGGGAAGAAGACTGCAGCTGAAGAAGATATTTAGCCTTAAGCAAAGGTAATTTTTTATTTTTATTTTTAAGATTTCTATACCATGTATGTTGTATATTAGCCTACATTAAAAACACAATGCAATACAGTACACCGATACTGGTATATATATATATATATATATATATATATATATATATATATATATATATATATATATATATATATATATATATATATATATATATATATATATATATATATATATAGTACTGCTTTGCAAATATGCAAAATTAATTGTCACGGCTGCTTCAAGGTTACATAGCGCCAAAGTGTGTGACGGGCTGGAGGGGGGTGGGGGATGTCTTCGGCAACGTCCTCTTTTTTTTAATGTTCAGATATGGCAACCCTAATACATGCTCAATGCTCGACAACAGTGCGTAACAAACATATGACCGGCCGGCCAGAGAGCTGCTCAGTGGCGGTGAGGATTAATAACAAATAGCAAGTAATGATAAACATGTCGGTGACCAGAGGGTGTCACAAACGACTCACCCAAAGGTTCCAGTCTACCCAGGAATCACACTCTGGACACGTCGTAAAAGTAGTTATCTTAAGACACATACCTAATTCTTGAATACTTCTCTTATATCTGTATTAATGTATATTCAGAGAAAGAAACGCCATATGTATTAAAGCCGAAATTACTTACTCTGTTTTCATTACTGTCTGTACTTTCTTATATATTTCTCCTTCCTTATTTTGGATTTCCAACTCTTTGCCTTAAATACCTCGCACAGTAGTGGACAACTTTCAGTGTACCTGTAGTTCCAGTACTCACCTCCACCATTATGATGACGTCTTCCGTCCACGGAGGCGAGGAGGACAGCCGAGGCCAGGAAGACGATGATGAAGGGTCTCTGTGAGGGACAACAAGAGGTGTGGCGTCAACACAAGTAAAGGTTCAGCCCCCGTGACACGAGGCAGCTAAGTCTTGTTCCTGTCCTTCCATAACAAGAAGCATCATGTTTTAAGAGAACTGAGTTATTTGTTTGTGAGAAAAAGAATGAACCATATTGTAGATGATTTCTGAGACTGACTATGACGCAACACTCTCAATAACAGCTTTACATTAATTGGTCTAGATAATAGCTATCTTACAACGCTGTACTCTGGACTTTACAACATATACAGGGTACAGTCACCATTAACTTTTAGTACAGTGAATAAGACTAACTCCTGCCAATAGAAATACAGATGTATTACACCAACAACAACGACTGGTGAGCCCATGAGGTAGACAAGTGCACTACAAAACTCTCAAACTCACACTAAAAACTGTTAACGTATAACGTGGGTTTGACTTACAAACTTGATTCTCACGTTACTGGGGGACTACTTACCATGTTAGCGGAAGAGCTAGGCGCTGAAGACCTCCTGAAGCTGCCGCGGTGACCACTGATGCCTCCTCCTGGTGACTAGCGCTATATATATGTGTACTACCAGACCGGCAAGCAGGTCATGAAGGAGGGAAGCCCGTTAGGTCAGCGGACAGCAGATGTGGACAGAAGGAGAGAGTCGTAGGGGCACCAGAGGAGGAAGGGGGTAGGGGCGCACTGGGATGGCGAGCGATTGTGAATGGTGGTCAAAGAATAAGACTCTTCTCCAGTGTGTCTTAATTATACACAGAGCTCCTCGTGATCACATTATAATCCCCTAGCAGTTTATGTTCCCGCCACAGAACACCGAGACAGTTTCTTTCCCAGTATATAAATTGTCCCCTTTAATTATTATTTATCAAATTATTTATTATTTTATTTGTAATATATTTACATGACTTGAAAATTAATGTAACAAATGTTCAATTAATTAAATAAAGGTTGAGTGTCCAAGAATCTCGTGATTATAATTATTCTTTTTTCTTTATTACATATATTAAAAAAAATCAAGAATGAGGATCAATTTACATTACAAAATAAATAAACTGTATGTATGGAGTGTAGATGCTGACAGACTGAATAAGAAGCTACTCGTATTAATTAAAATAGAAACAAGGAAGTTCGAAGCAGCAAGAAATCGGTCAGAGAACTGCATTGTCAGGCTTAAACGGTAGTGAGCCCGGGTAGTAGTGGCGGGAGGCCAGTGAACTCTACTTCCAGCGACACGATCGCCGCCTCTCATCAGTTCTGTTACCTGGGTTTTGGGACTCTGAGCTTCTACAGTACGCACAGTACAGTAGACTATTCACAAAATCCCGAAAAAATGTTTCAAAAAATAGTCGAAAAAAATATATTAAACCTAATTTGAACGGAATTTCTGGATCTGAAAAGTTCAAAAGGGAGGTAGCTTACTTTACCAGTCCCTGTACCGAAGAGTCACAGTACCTGGGAGTTTGATGGAGGGTGTGGAGGTCAAGGCGTGCTCTGGCAGGAAGGTTAGTGAACCCGCCTCAATACAGGAGTCAGGGCTACAAATTCTCACAACAATTTTGTTGAGGTTTGTAGCTTCTACTAAAATTATTCATTACATAAAGGAAATTTACAAATGAGGCATCGAAAATACAGTCGTTGGGGTGTTTCCAGATGACGAAACAGCAAGACAAACAACAGCAGTGGGAGTATGAATGTGGTCATGGAGGCGGGCAAACCTTCACTGCAGAAAATTTGAGGTTCCAACGCCTATAGCCGAGGAGGTCAGCGAACGTTCATCAAAAGAACGAGTTCTCTTTATGATATCATCTGGCTCAAAATATCTCTACCAACTATGACTGCTTTCCGTTGTTTCCTATACTGTTCTCCCAACTCTACCAACTATTTGGAACTCTTTGATTATCTCACTTCTTGCCACGAGTCGTTGCTATCCACACACCCCAACATCGAGATCCTCTACCTAGGGGATATCAATGTAGATCACAGAGAGTGGCTTGGCTCTGCAAGGGATGACTCAGGTGGAGCTGAGGCACTCTCTTTATCCTTACTTAATGATCTGGAACAAATAATTAAACACCTTAAACGTGTTCCAGATCGACACAATCAACTTACTAACATTCTTGATCTTTGTTTTACCTCTAACCCCTCACACTATTCATACTCAATTTCTGCCCCCTTAGGGTCTTCTGATCACAATCTTTTTTCTATTAAATCAAACTGGGCACGACCACCTTTCCCACCCCCTTCTAAACGCCAACTATGGCACTATCGGAGGGCAAACTGGCAATCCTTGCGAGAATTCTTCTACTTTCCTTGGGATGAATGTTGCTTTTCCACTCTGGACGCCTCGGTATGTGCTGACAGCATTGCTGGGGTTATACAGGGTGGTATGAGTGCATTTATCCCATCTTCTACCAAAACTTTCGCTTTATGATCATGGCTTGATCGCTCCTGCTCTCTTGCATGTAGGGAGAGAGATAGGGCGTATCAAGTTATGAAACTATCTCCTCCTCCTCCTATTACCCGTTCCTCTTTCATTACCTCTAGGAATCGTTGTAAGGCTATTCTTCGTGGGGCCAAGCGGAATTTTTTAAAAAGAAAGACCGCTGTCCTGACTAACTCTTCTTTTAGTAAATCCTTCTGATCCGTAACCAAAAACATTTGTAAAAACTTCTGCAATCCCTCTTTTCTTCCTCTCTTCCGACCTGATAACTCTATAGCCAACTCTCCCCCTGATAAAGCCAATCTCTTTGGCACCTTATTCTCAACTCTAACTCCACCTTAGACGATTCCAACTCTATCCCTCCTACCCCTACTTCTCCTACTGAACCTATGCACTTTCCTATAATCTCCACTCGTAGGGTTGCTGGTGTGTTATCCAGGTTGGATGTGAGTAAGGCGCATGGACCGGACGGAATACCCCCTCGAGTTCTGAGGGAGTGTGCTGAAGCTCTGGCCCCTGTGCTTGCTCGCCTCTTTCGCCTTTGCCTCAAAACCCAAACTTTTCCTTCTTCTTGGAAGCATGCCTCGGTTCAGCCCATCCCGAAGAAGGGTGACCATCCTAACCCCTCTAACTATCGCCCCATTGTCCTAACTTCATCCTCTCTAAGATTTTCGAAACTATCTTAAACTCTCATTTTCTCCGTCACCTTGAACGCCATTCTCGTTTGTCGGATCACCAGTATTGCTTTCGCCAAGTGAGATCTACTAGTGATCTGCTCTCCTACAGCACCCATCTTTGGTCATCCTCTCTTAGGGATTATGGGAAAACTTTCGCCGTAGCACTCGACATCTCCAAAGCATTTGACAGGGAATGGCTCAAGTCTTTGCTTTCTAAACTTCCCTCTTATGGTTTCTCTCCCACACTTTGTTCTTTAATTTCTAGCTTCCTTGAGAACCGATTCACGGCAGTTGTTGTCGAGGGATCGATCTCTTGCGCTTTCTCTACTAATAGTGGTGTCCCACAGGGCTCTCTTCTTTCACCTACTCCCTTCCTTCTTTTTATCAATGATTTACTTCACACTACGACTAATTCTATCCATTCTTACGCTGATGATTCTACTCTTCACCCTTCTTCACATTTTCCCCTTCCCCCTAATTCTCATACTAGATCTGTTTCTAGAGCTGAAATCATTACATCTATCAATGCGGATCTGTGCAACATCTCCGAATGGGGAGGTAGAAACTTGGTTAAATTCAATAGTAAGAAAATTCAGTATTTACCAATTACACTTTCCAAATTAGATTATCTCCCACCAATCACATTTCAAGACGCAGTCGTTCTGCCAAATTCTAAAATAGATATGGTAGGCCTCACCACTTCCTCTAATATATCATGGATTAAGCCACGAGCTGACTACGTTGTTCCTCGAACACTTTTACAGCTAGGGACCCAAATTCGCCGCAAACAGAGAGAAACTCGGGAAGCAGCCATCCCCCTGGACTCCCCGCCCACCTGGTACGATGTCCTCCGTAAACTTCCTGACCTCTTGTATGTCTATGGGAAAGGGTCGCGGAAAAGGGACGTGATTGCTGCCCGTATCATCATTGGGTATGACTTTGCTTGGGAGATTGGTATCCCCGCATCCCCTGAGCAATGCTCTTGTGCATTATGCAGAAGACCCGACAGCCGCCCCCTTATCCTCTACCTCCTGAGATGTCCCCACACACAACGCTTCCGTGATGCCTGCTGGACCATCACTCCTCGACCCCCTGACGGAGACACGATGATCCTCCCCATACTGGCCAGATACTATGTAAATAATATTGATAATGTGTAAAAGAATATCCTTCCTTCCTCAGGGTTTAGTAAGCCCCTTTATAATATTTATACTATATATACTTGTGACACTTGCCAGATGCTTCTGGTGTCATTGTACAGGGGTACCTAGTGACAGCACTAGGATCCCGCTTCCTCTATCAAGGAATAAACTATTGAAATTGATTAGGCCACACATCCTCAACATTGCTAAAGCTGCCTCCCGAAAGCTGGGAATGCTGTACAGATGCCGTAGCTTCTTCACTACTGAAAAATTGCTTCAAGTATATAAGGGATTCATTCGTCCTAACTTGGAGTACTGCTCATATCTGGGGTGGCTCTTCTTCTGCCCAAGTGTTAGATCGGGTGGAATCAAAGGCATTTCGTTTTATTAACTCTCCTCCTTTAGTTGATAATCTTTCTTCCCTTTCTCTTCGCCGCAGTGACGTTTCACTCTCTCTCCATTACAGGTACTTTAACGGGCAATGTTTGGTGGATTTGACATCCTGTGTACCGCCGACAAGACCGTGGGCTCGTCTTGCCCGCGGTGCCCAACGTTTCTCTGTGGATGTCGGTCACACAAGAATAACCCGTTATAGTACATCCTTCTCTCCTCACACAGCCAAACTGTGGAATGCTCTGCCTTCTTCTGTGTTTCCATACTCATACAATCTGTCTCACTTCAAAAAGCTGGTTTTCCGGCATCTTCGTGGTGTAGATTAATATAATCGTTTTCTTTTCTATTTTTAATTTCTATTTATTCTTATTTGTTCACCCCTCCCCCCTAGGTACCGTTGTGGGTCGATGACCTGTGCCCGGGTGGGCTATTCCCCGTAAAAAAAAAAAAAAAATCTAGCCGTCCCCGGGTAGTCGACCATGGAGGACTTCCAGCGCTGCAGTCTCAGAGTAAGGCCATGGGCTCTCGGTTCCTACAAGGAAGGTTCGCGTTACCTGAGAGCTCTATGTAGAAGTAAAAGAAAACAACAACAACAACAACACCGAAACAGGCACACAGAGACGTCTGTGAACCTTCTTCAGAACAGAATCTTCACAGCACAAAAGAACTAATTCTCGAATCTTCTCACATTATACAGAAAAGGCAAAGACACAGTCGTCGAGTGAAACAGAGACTCGGTCGTACAGTAAGGCCAATGAACCTGTCTAGATCGGTACTTCACATGTGCAAAATTGCAGAGAAAGTTTTTGGACTCTCGGCTCCTATGCAGAATACTTGGAAGTCAAGGAGAAAGGAGAGTTCTAAGAATCCATCAGACTTTCCACAGAGAGTCTGCGTTGTGCGGTACTTGTCGTCGGAGGTG